GCGGTGGCTCACGCCTGTAATACCAGCACTTTGGGAGATGGAGGCCAGAGGATTGCCTGAGCCCAGGGGTTTGAGATCAGCCTGGAAAACTTGGCGAGACCTGGTCTCTACAATAAATCAAAAAATTAGCCAGGTGTGGTGGCGCATACTTGTGGTTCCAGCTACTTGGAAGGCTGAGGCAGAAGGATCACCTGAGCCCAGCAAGTAGAGGGTGTGGTGGCTGTTGAGTATGCCACTGCACTCCTGCCTGGATAGAATGTGAGACTCCTACTAAAAAAAAAAAAAAAGTATCCATTCATTTCGAATAGGACACAAACACACACACAGTATATATAATACAAAAGTCAAAAGAGGAACATTTCGTCGTTTCAGTATCTAATCTTGAACTATTATTGCTAGTGCCTTTATATCTTTAAATATGCTTACACATCTGTTCTTGGTAACTCCATTTTGGAAGGTGCCTGAAGACTTACAGTTGTAAAAACGGAAGAAATCCATATACTTACACTGTCCCCGGCGTTTTCTCCCTCTACACCGCCACACCTTATTTCTTGGCTCTTATAAAGCATTCATTCCCAACTCCTCCGCTTGCTTTTTGCAGTCTCACCCTCTGTTTTCAGCAAGACTAGCCACTTTTGATGTTTCTGAAATGACCTTCACTTCTGGGATGGTTACTTTTTAATGACTTCCTTCCTGAGCTCGACCACGGAGTCTCAGTCGTCTCTGCTGGCTGTCTCAGCTGCTCTTCCTTGGACTGTTGCATCCTCGTTTTGATCTCTTGTTTTAACATTCATTAAGCCTGGCCGGGCTCGGTGGCTCAACCTGTAATTCCGGCACTTTGGGAGGCCGAGGTGAGTGGATGGCCTGAGCCCGCGGGTGCGAGACCCGCCTGGGCAGCGAGACCTCATCTCTACCATAAATCAAAAAATCAGCCGGGATGGTAGCGCATGCCTGTAATTCCGGCTACTTGGAAGGCTGAGGCGGAAGGATGGCCGGAGCCCAGCAGGTCGAGGCTGCGGTGGCCGGGAGCGGCCACTGCACTGCAGTCTGGGCCACAGAGTGAGACTCCAACTCAAAAAAAAAGTAAACAAAAAAAAGAAAAAAAGAAAAAAAAATTCATTAAGCCCTTTGAGCTCTTTGTTGTTCATGATTATCGTCTGTTTCATATTAGGTTTTTGTGTGTGTGTGTGTGAGTGTCTTTCATCTGCTAGGTGTTTTTCTTGCTCCCCGCCTCCCTCTCCTGCGTTCTTTGTCATAGGCTTGTATCTGATGCTGTTGTGTTTTAACTTTAACTCCTTTAGACGAAGCGAGCTCTTCCCGGGCCAGTTACTTGCGGGGCCTAGGTTAGAGTTCCAGGCTGGCAGGAGGTCTCCGGCTTCACAGGGAAGCTCTTCGTGACGGCTCGGGCGAGTGCGTGAACGGCCCGCCCCTTCTATTCCCAGCAGCTGGAGCTTGGCGGCTGCACAGCTCCCGACGCGCGTGCCTGCCTGCTCTCGGCCCCTCGCCCCCACGCCCCTCAGTGCCGGCGGGAGCGGGGACGCCCCACAGCCAGCCCTGACTCACGAGCCTGAGGTTTCACGGCCGGTGCTGCGGCTTCTGCGCTCAGGGCGCGCTGTCGGTTTTGGCGAACTCCGAGTTCCACCGGCTTCTCCCGGGCCGCAGGTTTTCTGCTGGCATCAGCCCCGTGCATCCGCCCCACACCCTCACTGCTGCACAGGCCGAGGCGACGAGGCGCCGAGGTGACGGTCGCTCCTCCGGGCCGCCGAGCGGCTCAGCCTGTTCTGGGGCGTGAGTGCCTCCACCAGCAGCCTCCAGGGGGCAGCTCGGAGGCGTGCTCCCTGCAGCCTTCTGGGGCTCTGGCAAAAGAAAGTTTTCATGTAAAAACTCCGATTATTTGTCTCTTGAGCTCTGCTAAAGTAACGAATTATGTTTAAGGACTCTCTGTTAGCCATCCTTGCATTCCTGGAATGAGACTTTGTTTTAAAATGCACTATTATATTGGCTTGTGTTTTGAGATTTTAAAAGCAATATTCTTAAATGAGATGAATCTATCACTTTCTCTTTTGATGAAACCTTTGTCAGTTTTTATTTTTTAAATTTTTTGTGGAGATGAGGGCTTGCTATGTCGTCCAGGCTGGCCTCCAACTCCTGGCCTCAAGAAATCTTCCTGCCCAGGCTCCCAAGGTGCTGGGATTACAGGCTTTTATAATCAGCAACAGGAAGAATATTCTCATCTTGTAACCACGCCACCTGGAACACCTCACATTTTGGTCGCATACTAACTCCCTGGACATACCCAGCCTCTCTGTCAGGTTTTACTATCCGTGTTCTTCTCACTTCATAAAAAAGAATTTAGTAGTTTTGCTACTCTTTAGGCTCTGGAACAGTTGAAGAAACATTGAGATTATCTTGTGAAACCTTTGAGATATTTTTTTTTTCTTTTTTGGTGGTGGTGGTGGTGAGAGAGCTCTTTTACAACTTCTCTATTTCTTTTATGAAAATTAGTATATTTAGATGGTTTCTATGAGGATCACGTTGGTAAATTATGTGTTCCTATAAGGTTATCTATAAAAAAAATCCCAGTATTTGTTGATGACTAATTCAGATTCTTAAAAAAACTGTTGAAAAATGTCAGCAGGCTATATATGATCTATGGACCACCATTTTGCAACCACTGACTATAGTCAAAGAATTTTAGAGCTGAAAGGACATATGGATCTCTACTGGTTTGCAAACAAGTAGCAGGTCTGGCAGGCGACTTAATCATATGAGATGGAGAGCCGGTTCCCCAAGTGAAGACAAGCAAGTCAGTTGTTAACAGTTTTCCAAGCATAACACCTTGCACGGGTCTAATGGAGCAGTCTGCAAGTTCCACGGGTCCATGTGGGCTGCAGCTAGTTCACTCTGCCAAGCCAGCCTCTTTTGCTTGTAACCACACCTCCTGGATCACCTCACATTTTGGTCGCATACATACTCCCTGGACTGGCCCTGCTCTCTCTTCACACATCCTTTGTAGCCTGCTTGCTTTATTTATTTGTTTGTTTGTTTATTTTTTGAGTTGGAGTCTCACTCTGTCCCCCAGGCTGGAGTACAGTGGAACGCTCATGGCCACTGCAGCCTGGACCTGCTGGACTCAAGCGATCCTTCTGCCTCATCCTTCCAAGTAGCTGGAACTACAGGCACGCACCACCACACCCGGCTAATTTTTTGATTTATTGTAGAGATGAGGTCTCACCAAGTTTCCTAGGCTGGTCTCAAACCCATGGGCTCAGGCAATCCTCTCACCTCGGCCTCCCAAAGTGCTGACAGGCTGAGCCACTGCACCCAGCCCTTTGTAGCTTTATTATAACAAGTCTTTTTTGGGCATTTTACCTCCCATATGTGAACTAACCATGAGCAGGGACCACATTGTATTCACCTTTATGTGTTTTGTACCTAGCTGAAGCTCTATAAACATTTGTCTTATAGCTTTTATAATCAGCAACAGTAGGAATATTCTCATCTTGAAAATAAATTATTTGTAGAATTGAATCTTACTCTATGTAGGATGGAAATGAGACTCAAATGGTTATGATCACATAGGAACAGGAGCAGGACTTTTTCTGGCATTCTGCCCTGTTATAGTTCCATTATAAAAATCAGGAACTGTAACAAAAATGAGACTTCCTTAATTTTCAGAACCAACTTTAACGTCTGACTCTGAATTTCTAGGCCGCCTCCTTGTAGATGACTTCATTCAGATGTCTTCAAGTCAATTAAAACCTAATCCAGTGATTTCAAGTGGTTATAATTTCAGGCTTATTGACTCATCTAGGTCCAGTTCATAACTCTCCAAACTTCCTACCTTTTTTTCCCCAATACTGATCCACTTCCTGGAGAGACTGTACAACCACAGCTGTCAGGAAGTGAGGTTGGCAGTGTTTACTTCTGTAGTCTCATCAGAACCTCCTTAATGGCATCTTTGATGACCTTGGTTAGTCTGGATACTGTCCTTGTCACTCTTAGATGCTCAGGCAACTCGGGACTGATGGGACACCCTTCTGCCTGGGGCCACCTACTCCCATTTCTCTTGCTTTCTCCAGGCCCAGTAGTTTTTCTCAGAAGCTTCTGAAGTTTTGTAGGGAATCCTCTTATATGTCTTTTCTCAAGACAAAGTCTGCAGTGGGGGAAGAAAAACTCCATACTGTGTCTCTCTTTTTCTGAAACTTCTCTCCTGTCTACCTGAGCTCTTTACATCTTTTCTCAGTGTATGGGGAAACCAGTTCTGTCCCTTCTTACTTTTGTGTGTGATTATGTCTCACATTCAGAGTGATGGCTTTGTCATTCTTTCCAGCCATCTTCACTGCATTCAATGCCCTCAACTAGAATGAAATAGAAGATCAGGTGACATCTGAAATCACAGATTTTACTGAGGATTTGCTCCAAGAACAAATTGAGATAATTGATCGTCATCTTTAATCTGGTAGAAAAAAGTACTTTAGACCCTGTGTTCTGCTGTGCTTTTAGAAGGATCACAGAGTCATTTGAGCTCCAGTCACCAAGTTCCTTTCAACATTTGATACTTTGTGTGGTTGAGGACTTTGATTTGCTGAGTTTTTCTGATGGTCCTGATTTGACAAGACTATTAGATGGGGCTACATACCTGCACTCCAGGGTCTCCAAAGTCTGTGCCTCAGCATGGCCCCAGGCTAAGTGGCGGATGTGTCCCGTCCCCACCCCAGCCCAGAGCCACTACTCTCTTTAAGACAGCTCCATGACTCTGGCGGCCATTTAGCTACCCTGAGTCCCAGTCTTCTCATGTATGAAGTTGGGCATGAGTTGTGTGGTTGTGAGGATTAACTGAGATAAGGCCTGTGAGTGCTCAATAGATCTCAGACTCCCAGAGTCCCTTCCTACTCCCTTCTACCTTCCAGAATCTTTCACTGTGACTTAAGTAGATTCTGAGAACGATTTCTCAGAACAAGTCTTCCTGCAGCTGGTGGTAGGGTTTCAGGAGTGGGGAGGAAAGCCATTTGTTTCTAGGATAACTGGACTGATGGGGAAAATTTTGTAGTCATCCCCTTGCAAGGTAAAGGGGCCAGTTGTGACATTTGCCAGCTCAGGAACCATGAAGAGATACAGGGTGACTCATGTCTGGCAGCTCCTGAAGAAGGAACTGGTGAGAAGGGTCAAGGGCCCTGGGAGGGAAGAGTGGAAGACAGAACAGACCAGCATTCTGAGGAAGGAAGAAGCAGGTGCAGGAGGAGGCCTTGGATGAACGGTGGCACCCCTGGGCCTTTTGGAGTCACAGCATGGCACAAAGGAAGGAGCTCTAGACTAGTCTTCAGGAGGACTGACCCCTCACTTTGGGCAAGCCACAGGCCACCATACTCTGAGCCCCTGCATCCTGTTCTGTACCCAGCCTTTCTGGTATTATGAGCCACCATGCTACACACTTCCCTTTTTTTAAGTGAGAAAGCAGGATTTATTGAGAGGACAGAGACGCTCCCACAGTGGGAGGAGACCTGGAGAGTTGCCCCTACACACTTTTTAAAATGGCATCATGGTTCACCTTTCTCCACTCAAAATTGTTTCAGCTTTATCATCTCGGCACACACAGATGTGATGCGCTGTCTAACCCTGTGACTGTACCGTGATGCATTGATCCCTCCCCCTACTGATGAACACTTGTTTTCAAGCCATTCACGGTGACAAATGGTGCTGCCACGATCACCCTCATGGCTACTACCTCCCTGTGACCTACATGAGTTTCCCTAGAGGATACGTAAGTTGTGTATAATTACTTGTCTGTAATGTCCACACATTCTCAACTTCATAAACTTGCTAGATTGCTTGACAACATGGCTGTAACTTGTTTCCAGTTGCCCAGTTATGAATGTAAGATGGCATCTTGTTATTTAATGTACTTTTCCATTATATCTAGTGAGGCTAAGATTCTTTTCATAATTTATAGATGATTTGAGTTTTCTTTTTGAATCACATGTTCATATCCTGTGCTCATTTTGGTATTGGGTTATTTGTATTATTCTTTTGATTTGTAGGATTAGAAATGAATAAATTTGAATAATAATCCTTTGTTGATTATATGCATAGGAAATATATTCTTCCGGTCTGAAGTTTGTGCTTCACTTAGTTTCTGATGTACTTTTTAGCAGAAATTAGTACACAGAAGTTTTTATTTAGTTTTTGCATTTTGCTGTACTGTACTGTGTTGGCTTTATGTATATGTATGTGTTTGCTGAATCATCAGAAAGTAAATTGTATACTTTATGACATTTCTTTCTTAAAAATAAGGACATTGGGCAACCCCCTCTGGTCCCCTCCCACTGTAGGAGCTTTTCTGTCCTCTTAATAAATCCTGCTTTCTCAAAAAAATAAATAAATAAGGACATTATCCCATATAATCACAATATCACTATTGTACTAAGAAAATTAGCACTAATTCCCCAATACCATCTAATATTGTCATATTCAATTTCTTCATTTGACCCTAAAATGCCTTTTGTAGCTTGTTATCATGAACCAGGATCTAATCAAGGCACATATCTTTTTGTATTTCTTGAATCCTTTTAATCTAAAACAGCCCCTATATCTTGTTTTTCTCTCATAAAATTGATCTTTTGAAGAAACTGTGTTAATTGACTTATAGACTATTTGTTAAGTACCAGAATCTTGGTGAGACCTCCAAAAATGGTGCAAAAGTAATTGCAATTTCAGACCGTGAATTTTAAATCATTATAGCACATCTTTATTAACCAATATGGGAATCATTACAATTTACACATTTTTGCCAATAAGAAATAAGTTTTTTATTCCTGTAGTGTAAAAATTCATGCTTTGGGATTCAACAAACTCTTGGAAGGCATCTTCTGCATCCTGCTGGTAGTGGAAGCATTGTACCTGCAAAAAGTTGTCAAGATGCTTGAAGAAGTGGTAGTCGGTTGGTCAGGTCAGGTCAATATGGTGGATGAGGCAAAACTTCGTAGTCCAATTAGTCCAACTTTTGGTTGTGTGACATGTGATCAGGCATTGTCATGGAGAAGAATTGGGCCCTTTCTGTTGACCAATGCCGGCTGAAGGCATTGCAGTTTTCAGTGCATCTCACTGATTTGCTGAGCATACTTCTCATGTAATGGTTTTGCCAGGATTCAGAAAGCTGTAGTGGATCAGACCAGCAGCAGACCACCAAACAGTGACCATGGCCTTTTCTCGGTGTAAGTTTGGCTTTGGGAAGTGCTCCGGAGCTTCTTGTCGGTCCAACCACTGAATTGGTCATTGCCAATTGTCGTATACAATCCATTTTTCTTTGCACATCACAATCCGTTTGAGAAATGGTTTGTTGTTGTGTAGAATAAGAGAAAACGACCATTTTTTAAGCCTTCAGTCAGCTCACTTATTGAGCTTTTTCACCTTTCCAATTTGCTTCAGATGCCAAATGACCATAGAATGGTCAACGTTGAGTTCTTCGGCAAATTCTTGTGTAGTTGTAAGAGGATCAGCTTCGATGATTGCTCTCAATTGGTCGTTATCAACTTCCAATGGTCGGCTACTACTCTCCTCATCTTCAAGTCTGTCTTCTCCTTTGCAAAACTTCTTGAACCACCACTGCACTATACGTTCATTAGCAGTTCCTGGGCCAAATGCGTTGTTGATGTTACGAGTTGTCTTTGCTGCTTTACAACCCATTTTGAATGTGAATAAGAAAATTGCTTGAATTTGTTTTTTGTCTAACTTCATTTCTACAGTCTAAAATGAATATAAAACAAACAGCAAGTAATAAGTCATTAGCAAAAAATAAAAAATAAAGCAAGAAATGCACATTCAAATGATGTATAACATGCACACATTTATTTAAAAATGTATCCCAATATCAAACAGCCAATATCAACAATGCAGAAACCAAAATTACTTTTGCACCAACCTAATATCTAGCACTAATGTTTTAGCACGGTAGAGTTGAAAGTTTGGTTGAAAAAGTAGATTAAGATGACAATAGGCCATTTTCTCTATGAGTTAACAGGATTCGTTAATTAGCACATGAACTCTTTACTTTTGTCCAGGAATAGGGTTGATAGTCTCAGTTTATTTTTAATTTGAGAGTTTTCCCCTAGAAAAAGAAACATAAACTTGAATATCTTTTTGTCCTGGCCACCTGGCTGAGGGGAGACTGGTTGAGCCATGGTGGAAGCCTGAAAGGGCTTCCCAGAATCCTGGTGGGACGGGGGGATGCAGGCGGGACAGGACACGCAGTTTGACTTTGCGGCAACGAGTAGGGCTGGCACTGGTGTGTTGTCAGGTGGGGGTGGGGGGGCGGGAAGGAGGACGAGAGGCAGAGCAGGAAGGAGGTCAAATAATTAAAGGAGTTGGGAGTGTGCCACAGGAAGCGCAAGGGGTCTGGGTGGTGTCATTTTGAAGACCTCGGATCATTTTCCCTTGTGGCAGCTATAGAGGTCAAGCTGAAGGAGAGTATCAGAACCAAGAGACCTGCCTTGGGCCCATCTCCTGGTTGCCTAGGCGGTATTGAGGAGATGCTTAGGGCAGATGCTCCTCTCTAGTGAGAGGGTTCCGAGACCTTCTCGAAGGCGTTTCAATAAGGGGGGCTTAGTCACCCGTCTTGGGTTTCCCATGAGGAGTAATCCTAGATGGGGAGAGAGATTGGTCTTAAGAATGGTCCCCGAGAGCCCAAAAGAGAGAGAAAATGCAGAGGGCCCGGGCCCTAGCCAACCATCCACATCTTCAGCCAGCGTCCTGGGCGGAGGATCAGTGGAATTAGCCTGAGTATGTGGGTAATGAGTGAGAAGGGCATCCACTTAGCTCTCTGACCCACGCCCGAGGCAGCACTTCCATAGCGCAGAGGGCTCCAGCGCTTCCATAGCGCAGGAGGCTGCTCCAAGACATGCACTCAGGATACTTGGCCAAGATTTCCACAGAAGATCCCAGACCCCAGCAGGAAAAACTCTCTAGCAGACCAGAAAACAAGCCTCTCAGGTCACGTTTAAAGACTTCCTAGCAAGGAAGAGGGTGGTGCATAGACTCACCAGTGAGGATGTAATTTCTCACTGGAGAAGGCTGAGGTGACAAAGAGAAGTCCGTTTGATATTTCTTGTCACAGGTGATGAGATTAAGAGTGAGTAGTGACTGGGCTTGGGTGGTTTAGCCTGTAATCCCAGCACTTTGGAAGGCCAAGGCAAGTGGATTGCCTGAGCTGGCGGGTTCAAGACTAACCCGGGCAACTTGGTGAGACCTCATCTCTACAATAAATCAAAAATTAGCTGGGCGTGGTAGCACATGCCTATGGTTCCAGCTACTTGGAAGGCTGAGGCGGAAGGAGTGCCAGAACCCAGCAGGTCGACACTGGGGTGACTGTGAGAGTGCCACTGCACTCCAGCTTGGGCAACAGAGTGAGACTCCAACTCAAAACAAAAAAAGAGTGAGTAGTAAAGGAAAGGATTCAAGCACCTTGTCTCTCTCCACAGAGAGATTTGAGTTGGAAAAGAAGAGCGTGAGAGCGTAAGAGTGCAGCATATCTCAGTAGGACTTCCAAAAACATTAGGTTAAAATATCCCAGTAGGGGCCTCCAAAATGTTAGGTCTGTGATCCGGCGCTGCATAAAAGATGCAAAGAATTGCACAGAAGTTAGATTGGAAAATATCATTCATTTAGCAAGTGAATGAGAGAGAGAGGGGATTCACCTCCCCAAGGTAAGGAAGGGGGCCAAAGCTAGGGAACACTGCCTGGTCATAGCTCAATTGAGCACATGGCCTGACCAGTATTTGGCAAAGCAACGGCAACTGCCGTGTGAAGTTGAATGCCTTTTAAAACTTCCCTGTGACGGGAGCAGGTCGTTAAGGTGATCGAAGTGGTCTGCTCCACATCGTCACAGAGGGTACAGGTAAGCACAGGTACTGACGCCAGGCGTTGAATGGCAGGCAGATGGGTGGGCTAGTCACATGTTGCTGTGCTGATGGGGTCTGTGCCCTGAGGGTCACAAGGGCTGGGGAGGGGGTTGTAAAGCAATTATCAATAGCTACCTCCGAGAAACTGGTTCTGTCCTTGGCTAGAATTAGAGGCCACATTAAAGTGAAATGCTAGGAAAACATGACAGAACGAGGCAGTGTTAAAATGACTGCTCATTGGGTATACCGACTCCGTCTTTGTCCTTTCACTGTTCTAATTTCTGGATGTTCTCCTGTCCCCTGTACTACTTGGGTATTAAGAGTGGCTGCCCTTAGTCCTAAATTTATATTGGGATTAAGAGGTTGATTTTTTCTCTGTCCCGATTCCAAATTCCCAGGGAAAAGTTGGGATGGCCCATCTTGGCTTTGGCGTTCTATTGGTTTTCTATTGCTGCTATAGCAAATTACCATGATTTCGTGGCTCAAAACAGTGCAGATGTATGAACTTAGGGTACAGTCAGCTGGAAGTTGACACAGGTGTTCTTGGGTTAAAATCAAAGGGTCAGCTGGGCTGCATTCCTTTCTTAGGCTCTGGGAAAGAACCCGTGCCCCAGCTTTTCTGCTTCTGAAGACCGTCCACATTCCTGGCTTTGTGGCCCTGTCCTCCATCTTCAAAGCCAGCAGCATTGCATCCTTCAAACCATTCCTCTCTCAGATTTGTCAGATTCCAGAATCCAGGCTTCTCATGTCACCTCCACACTGTCTGCAGTTACTTGTGCCCTTTACTTTCTGGATGGAAGGAAGGATTTGACATTCAACTAGTGGTGTGCTGTGTTTAACAACTGGCTCCTGGGGAGAGGATAGCCCTGATTTGTAGTAGTTGCCAATTTTTGCCACATAACTACCTCCCTTGGCCAGTTTCAAGCTAACAACATAATTTCATCAAGCAGCAGGCTTGCAAACATTCCAAAAATGTAGCCATCACTCCAGCACACCATCACTTTTTTTTTTTTGATTGGAAAATATAGTTTATTTAGAAATTAGAGAGAAAGAGAGGAGAGATTTACCTCTCCAAGGAAGGAAAGGGGGCCAAAGCTAGGAAAATATGGCGACCACAGCTCAAAGAGCCACGTAGCCAGACCAGATTGAGTAAAGCGATGGCCCACACCACCTCTTTTCATCCTGCTGAATTTCACCTTGCTCAGCGCCATCCTGCCTGCTGTTGCCTGTTGGGGACAGATGTTTCCACGATCTTGTTTGCTTTGTTTTCACAGGGGCTGTACCAGCTCGCCATGGATATTATAGTAATGACCCGAGTGTGCAAGATGTTCCGCCAAGGCCTCGGGGGATTCCGGGAATATCAAATCATCGAGCCTGTTCACAGAGAGCACCCTATCTTCTCCTTCTGGGATGTAAGCAGCAGGGCTCAGCAGGAGTTTAGGGATTAGGGGACCCAGTAAATAGCACCCCACTTCCCAACCCAAGCTCAGAACCAAGTGGAAAAAAAGAGGGCACAGAGGATGGGAGACTCGACCATCACCCTTCTTAACAACCAGACTTATCCTGGAGAGGGTGACTCACCTCATCAAGCAAGAGGGTGATACCAGAATTCAGCACTGAACCCTAGAGCTTGGTAGCCTCACATGCCTGGTCACAGGCCACGCTGGACCAAGGCAAGCTCCAGGGAATGGCAGAACCTGCTGCCCCACATGCATGGCCGCGAAAGGCACAGCAGGACATGGGCTCAGAGGGAAAGACAGGGAGCACTGCAGCCAGGGCTCAGAGGGAAAGCCAGGGACTGCCAGGCCCAGGGCTCGGAGGGGAGGACAGGGACTATCACGCCCAGCTTCTCCCTCCGGATTCATTCCTTCTCGGTGGAAGGAGAGAGGCCAGGAGTGTTCGACTGTTCCACCTCCTCCATGTGGAAAGGAACACCAGCAGTGGGAAGGAACGCTCTCCATTTTGAGGGTGATCAAAAGACCCAGAAAAGAATCCAGGATGCCCGGCAGAGCTGGGCATTCTGAAAACCCATCAACTCCACTAGCACCTCTACTTCTTGTTTACACTCCACTAAGTGAAAGAGCGAAAGTGAAGGGCCCTGTTCACTGTGATGACCTTGCTTTCCGGTTTCATACAAAGTCCCAATTTAGAACATTTTATCCCCGTGGTGGAGCATGACCCCTTTTTTGGCTCAGAGAAGCTGGTCACCATTCTGTTAACTTGTTATATCCCTAAAGATAGCTTCATTACTACTTGGTGTGATGCCCAGGGCTTCAAAGTCTTCCCAGCTAACAGCTGAACAAACTCCATCCATTTGCCTGTTGTGACAACAGTGACTGGATCCAGCTCCCCACCCCCTGCATCTAGCAATTTTCCCATGAAATTTTCCCACATGGTTTCTAACAGATAGTGACTGGAGAGAGGGGCATAGGACGGTGACGGGGGGAAGGGGCCACCTTAGACCGGCTTCTATGGGACTAGCGGGTCATAGAACTAGTGTGTATAGCTGAGTTTAGGTCACAGCAGGGAGGAGGGGCTTGTGGGCCAGCTGTCAAGGAAGGACACACCCCATCTAAAGACGTCCCAATTCATAGACTGGATTTTAAAACACTCTACTGGCCAACCCAAACAAGGCTGCACTCCTGCGGTTGGGCTGAGATGAAAAAGGGAAGGGATGGAGACCTGAGAGAATCAGGTTAGTGGAAACTAAAACCCCCGTTTCCGGGGCCCATTGCTTCACCACTGCACACCATTCTGATTCCCAGAGTGGTGTGCAGTGGTGAAACAATGGGCCCCGGAAACAGGGGCTTTGGTTTCCAGAAGACCTGAGCTGAGGCATAGCGCAGTCAGAAGCTGAAGATGCAGAGCCAGCCTTGTCATCAGGGGAGTGTGAGGCTAGACCTGACCACATGGGCCAGCCAGAGTGACCTTGAGCACTTGCAGAAGCCTTGCAAGGGCAGCCTCAGAGGGCCATGGCCGTCAGATGGGGGGAGCCGGGACAGGTCTTCAGTAGAGTGTAGATCTGGATCTTTCCGAGTATTACCTCTTTCCTGTGGTGACCTCCCTGAGAAGCACCACCTGGATCCACAGACAGTCAAGGGGTGGTGGGAGGGGAGACAGGGCCCCGGGAGGGCCCCAGGGCGGCATGAGGTGTGCTGCGTGGAGGATGGGCCTAGTTCGGCCTGGGGTGGTGGCAGGGCCTTGCTGTCCCTTTCCCTCTCCCTCACCCCTTCTGCATACTTCCCACCCTTGCCACACCCTCCCTCCATCTGTCAGAGATGGAGCTGGGTTAGCTCATCCCAGGTCACTTACGGCTTCTCCTCCAGCCACACTCTAGACGTAGACTTGGATTTGCCCCAAGTCTTGGGTTTGGATCCCAGCTGGACCGTGGCCTTGCTGTGTATCCTTGGGTAGGTTCCTTCCCCACCTCAGGTCACAAGCAGGACTTGAAAAAACCTGCCTTGCCTGATGATTAAACGGAGCTCGACAAGGGAGGCGCCCCACTCTCAGCGCTTTCGAGGCCCTCGGCAAGGGGTGGCTTCATCTGTTTCTTCTTCCTCTGCATCCCTCCATCTTCCTCCTTCTCCCTCCTCCGCCCTCTTGTTGCTGCTTCTCCTCTTCCTTTTCTCTCCGTTCTCCTTTTCTGCTTCTCTTTATTCTCCTTTCCCTCTCCCCACCCCATGTTCTCTGTCTTCATAGTTGTCAACACTGGACCCACGCCTTGTGCTGGGCTGGGGCTTTTGAACAGGGGTGGGCACAAAAGGGCCCATGGCCAGGAGGGCTCCTGCCCACTCCAGGTCCAGCACACAGAAGAGTTTTAGAGGGGAAGTTTTAGGGATGGTGTCGCTGATCCTCCCTCCTCTCCTTGCCTCCTTTCTTTCAGAAAAAGAAGCAAGGCCGAATCACATTTGACACCCTGGACTTCATTGCAGAGGAGGTGTGTACGGCTTGGTCCTGGCTGGGGCGGGGGGCTTCTTTCTACACTGGGGCCTGGAAGAAGCCCTTGCCTGGGTGTCAGGAGAGCTGTCTCTGTCTAGGCTCTGCCACCAAGCCAATGTGTCACCTGAGTTGGCCACAGGGTACTTCACCTATAAAATAGCTGATCTTGGGGACCTCTGCCAGCCCTGTGAGTGCTCAGGACAGTTGTCACTGGATAACTGAGCAAAGCCAGCTGGGAGCCTTCCTGGGCTTGGACCTGTGGGGCGACTACAGAAGACAAAGCAGAGGATGTGAGAGCACAGATGGAGAAAGATTCCAGGTGCGGGAAGAGTCCTGGCCCAAGTGAATTCTGGTTCTGCCTTGAATTCTCCCAGAGGTGCTGGCTCACCTATCACACTGAGTGTCAGATGCCCTTAAATTCTAGCTGGACCGGGCGCAGTGACTCATGCCTGTAATCCCAGCACTTTGGGAGGCAGAGGCGAGAGAATTTCCTGACCCCAGGGTTTCAAGACCAGCCTGGGCAACTTGATGAGACCTCATCTCTACAGTAAATCAAAAACTAACTGGGCATGGTGGTGCACACTGTAGTTCCAGCTACTTGGAAGGCTGTGGTGGAAGGATCACCTGAGCCCAACGGGTCGAAGCTGTGGTGTTCATGAGCATGCCAGCGCACTCCAGCCTGGGCAACAGAGTGAGACTCCAACTCAAAAAAAAAAAATCTAGCCGGACACAGTTGCTCATGCCTGTGATCCCAGCTGCTTGGGAAGCTGAGGTGGGAGGCTCACTAAGGCCAGGAATTTGAGGCTGCAGTGAGCTAGGATTGCACCACAGCACTCCAGCCTGGGTGACAGTGAGACCCCTCTCTAGAAAAAGAGTCTTCTTCTGACGAGGGGATGCTTTTATATCTGTACATGCTTTGGTCTTTGTGGTTCTCAGTCTCATCACTGTTATCTTCCTGGCTTGCCCTCACAGTATCCTGAATACCAAATTACACTTTATAATCCAATTTAAAAGTTAAAGGAGTCTGCCTATTTACAGGGAGGACTGAAGTTCTCACCGGTGCAGACCTGGCTTGATCCTGACCTGGAGTAACTATGCTGGCCTTTCTCTCAAGGAAGGGAGAGAGAATGGCACTTTACAGCTGGTGCCAGGACCCCTTGGGCCAAGCCCTGCCCATCCCTTCTCCTCTTGGAGCCTGGGGAGGGCTTCTGTGGCTAGCCCCTCCTGAGCACAGTCTAAGTTCTCATGCCCTTTGTGGATGAAGCATAATCAGTTAAGTCATCCAAATTCTGTGAGTCTTCAACTTTCCAGACTAGTCCAAGTCTGACATTGGACACTGAATGTGACCCTGCGGGGGGCCAGCCCCTGCAGATATCGGGGGTCCCTGGTAGGAAAGAGTTTCATCCTTCAGACAAGAGAAAGGAGGGACCTGAGAGCCGCAGAACTGTAGGGATGAGAGCGGTGTTGGTGCAGCAGTGGAGGGAGAGAAAAGGGCACGGAGGGAGGACTGTTATAGGCAAGACCTGAGGGCGACTCTCGACTGAGTCATGTCTGATCTGGTTCAGCACAGAAGAGTAGAGACTCAATTTAGAAGCCTGCCCTTTGAGTCACTACTGATGGACACGAGGTTTGTCTGGGGTGATAAGAAGATCTAAAATAGACTGTGGTGATGGCTGTACAACTCTGTGAATACACTAAAAGCCACTGAATTGACATTTTCAATGGTGACTCATGATATATGGATTATACCTAAATAAAACATATATATAACATATACACACATTTATTTATTTATTTATTTTTTGAGTTGGAGTCTCACTCTGTCCCCCAGACTGGAGTGAAGTGGCCGCTCCCAGCCACCACAGCCTCGACCTGCTGGGCTCCAGCGATCCTTCCGCCTCAGCCTTCCAAGTAGCTGGAATTACAGGCATGCGCTACCACGCCCGGCTGATTTTTTGATTTATTGTAGAGATGAGGTCTCGCTGCCCAGGTGGGTCTCGAACCTGCGGGCTCAGGCAATCCACTCACCTCAGCCTCCCAAGGTGCGGGATTACAGGCTGAGCCACTGAGCCCAGCAATATACACACATTTATACATTCATAACTTGCTCCTCGGCTCAGCACTTTGGATTCTGACAGGAAACTAAGTCTCAGTATAGTCCATATTGGGCCTCTTAGAATCATAGACTAATTTGTTGTAGTGACTGTGAGACAGTGGAAATAATGGGAAAATTTCAAAAACATTGCTTAAAAAAATTGAGCAAGGCCGGGCGCAGTGGCTCACACCTGTAATCTCAGCACTTTGGGAGGCAGAGGCGAGAGGATTGCCTGACCAGCCTGGGCAACTTGGCAAGACCTCTTCTCTACAATAAATATAATTAACTGGGTGTGGTGGTGCTCACCTGTGGTTCCAGCTACTTGGAAGACTGACGTGGAAGGATCATGTGCGCCCAGCAGGTCGAGGCTGCAATGGCTGTGAGTTCGCTATTGCACTCCAGTCTGGGTGACAGAATAAGACTCTGGCTCAAAAAAAAAAAAAAAAAAAACTGAGCAAAGAAAAGCAAGTTGGATAAATGATGTCTATAGTCTGACATTTACATAAATTAAAAAAAAAAATCCTGCCAGGCCCTGTGGCTCATGCCTGTAATCCCAGCACTTTGGGATTACAGGAGGATTGCTTGAAGCCAAGAGATTGAGACCAGCCTGGGCAACAAGGAGAGATCTCTTCTTTACAATGAAATTTTAAAAATAACCAGGTGTGGTGGTGCATACCTGTAGTCCCAGATAATTGCAAGGCTGAGGTGGCAGGATCGCCTGAGCCCAGCAGGTCAAGGCTGCAGTAGCTGTAGTGTGTCACTGCACTCCAGCTTGGGCGACAGAGTGAGTCTCTGACTCAAAAAGGTAAACCCTGGTGGTGGGAAGCAGGTCTAGATTGTGGTGTGTGACCAGGGGATTTTAACATCTGTATTGTTTTGAATCTGCTTTATGGAAGAAGGAGTCATATATCATGTTATTTTCAAAACTTTTGCTAATACATAAGAAAACAACAGGAAACACGTATGTGGATGGTGATTTCTGAGTGGTGGGATAATAGGCAGTCACTTCTTCTTGACCCTTCCTGTCTGTTGGAGGGGCACAGGGAGTGTAAGGAGAGTGGTGAGAAACTGTGTTTGAGAAGCAGACAAGGGCCCGGTCTCCTGGGCCCTGTTGGAAGTGTATTCCGTCTTCTCCATCCCAGACATTTTCTTGATCCCCTAAGGCAGGCCTAGACCTGTGTCTGGTTGTGAGGAATACTGGGGTACATAACACCCCAACCCTGCTATTGAGGAGCCATTCATTAGAGCCGAGCCCCCATGATGTAATCACCTCTTCAAGGTCCCACTTTTTAATAATGTCGCTTTTCACTGAGATTTCCATGAGTTTTGGAGGGAGCACTCACACCACAGCAAGAGCCTGCAGAATGCTGAGGAAGGTGCCCTGGTGTCTGAGCTAAGAAGATCCACTGGGGACTCACTGAGAGTGTGGCTGCATATGCGCTGATACCAGAATGATGTGAGGCAGCCATGTCCGTGTGGAAATTCAGGGGAAGAACGTTCCAGGCGGACAAAATGGCCCAAACAAAGACTCAAGACAGAACCAAGCTTGGCACATGCTAGGGATAGGTAGAAAGCTTGAGAACAGAGAATAGAAGGGAGAAGTAGGAGATGCAGTTGGAGGGAAGCCATGGGGGTATTAGCAATGAAGGCACCCCTTCCCCAGCAGTGAGAGTGTGGGTGAGTGGGTAGATCTGCCCACACACTGGTCCGTGAGTCCTGGCTCACTAGGGAAGAAGAGGCTCCGAGGACAGTCTCTTTGTTTCTTGGTCTCCTGTAACACACCGAGGTCTAGGCTGAGACAAGGGCCAAAGTCTTCTCTGACTGCAGTGTGCGTGTGCTCAGGGGATCGATCCTGCAGGCCCCTGGAGCCCAGGGAGCCCTGTATAGCCTGGGCAGGTCCATGAGCAGCGTGGCAGGGGGTGTATATGAACAGTGCCTGGCACACAGTGAGCACTTGTCACACAGCAGCCACTGTTGTCCAGGGAACAAGAAAGTGAATAAGAGGAGTCTGGGTGTTGCCAGCTGGCCCATGGGGAACTGCTGGGTCCTGTGCCTCTTGTCACTGTGGCCCTCTCTCCCCAGGGCCACTTCCCACCAAAGGCCATTCAGATCACACGAAAGAAGCCTTCCTGGAGGACAGAGCAGGAGATCCACTCCCTCTGCAACATCATGCAGGTTCTGGCTAGCTACCGGAACTACGAGGAGCCCTTGCAGCTGCTTCTAGCCAAGATCATGCGCTTTGAAAGGTCAGTGAGGGTCACAGCCCCTGACTCCCGGGCTGGGGCTAGGCTGGGCAGGGGGTTAGGGTGTGAAGTCTTCTGTCAGCTCATCTCAGTGCCCGCTGCTTCGACCATAGCACGGTTTGTCTTACCACTTTTGAGAGACTCCATAGAATTAAAGAGCTGTTAAGTCGGAGAGGATCTGGTAGGAACCAGGAAAGGATCTGGTCTGAATCCCTAATTTTTCAGAAGAGAAAACTGAGGCTCAGAGGGAAAACTGGCTCCTCCTAGGTCACTGAGACAATAAGTTGCAGAGCTGAGACTCAAATCCAGGCCCTGAAAGCCAGAATGGATCCCAGAAGACTGTATTGTATGTAGGACGGTGCTTGCACAGGTCTGTGAACTTGAGTAAGAATTATCTCTATTTTACATTTGTATGCCTAATCCTGAATTGTATCCCACATCTTTAAAAGAAAAAAAAAAAAAGAATTATCTCTATTCTCATTAACTTCTAGCTGAAACTTCTAGTTCCATCATGAGTATAGGCAGCAGACCACTGTGATATTAGCCATCCCTGTGGCTTTTTCACTGAAGGAAACCACAGATATTTTCTTTCTTTTTTTTCAGTCTGAGTCTCACTCTGTCACCCAGGCAGGAGTACAGTGGCATGCTCATACCACCACAGCCTCCACCATTTGAGCTCAGGTGATCCTTCCACCTCAGCCTTCTGAATAGCTGCCACTACAGGCGCACGCCACCATGCCCAGTTAATTTTCTGATTTATTGTAGAGACGAGGTCTCGCCAATTGCTGGGCTGGTCTCGAACCTATGGGCTCAGGCAATCCACTCACCAACTGTAATTCTTAAGACCTTATTCTATACATTTAAAACATTATTCCATGAAGCCTTTGCTGGACTGTCAAGGGTCCATTGTCCAAGAAGTACCATGTAAATACCTTGTACTAGAAAAGTCTAAGAGGTGCACGTGGAGATGTTGCCATTTCTGGCCATCTCAATGGCTTCAGAGAGTCAGGCTTATCTTAAAAACCCAGGATGTAAGGTGTGTACCCTAGTTTCTGTGTGAGGTCATGGCCTAAGACATGCACAACCAACTGTAGGTAAAGGCCCTTTATGGCCAGTGCAGGATGATCCCAAGTGGGGGATTGTTCTCCAGCTGGCTTGATCAAGAGTTTCACAGAAAAGATTGTGTTTGCACAGGTAGATTTGACAGGTAGAGGTGTAGACAGGGCATTCCAGGCAGAGGGAACCACGTGCTTTCTTCTGGCCCAGTGAAGAAGAGCGAGTCACCGCTGTCTGTAAACTAAGATTCCATGCCAGGCAGAGTGGCGTCACGGAAGGACAAAGAGTCATGGAGGTAGATGCTCTGGAGTTCGATGCCAATGTGACCTCAGGCAAGCCACTCAAGCTTTCTGAGCCTCAGTGTCCTCATCGGTGAAATAAAGATGACAATGAGGATCTTATTAAGGATAGCAATGAGATTTGGGGGTACATGAGGTGCTGAATTCTGAAACCCTTTGCTCATTGTCAGTTATTTCTGGGACTGGGAATGGGCAACTTAGACAGGATTCTCCCAGTTGCCAGTATCAGAGAGTCCAGCCCAGGGATGCGGGTGGCTCCTGTATCTGAAAGTCCTGCGATAGTTCTCTACGTTGAGGCTGGTTGGAATTCAGGGAGCAGTGTCCTCAGACCCAGTGTCGGTCTGTTTCTGTCTCTTGGCACTTTATTCACGTAAGCCTCCTGCTTGGCCAGATTCCTCCCTCACAGCGGCCAGATGGTACTGCAGTCACAGCTCCGGACGACCATCTTTCCAGCTTGAGTCCTATGGAACTCCCCCAAGCCCCCCGGGTCCTATGGAACTCTTTCCAGCCCCCAAGTCAGAGCTTCGGGGTTAATTCTTTCCAAACCATATTGGCTCTGCTTGAATCATCACTGGAGTCAAGATTGTTTGGGAGTTGAGAAAAAGGGTGGGTCCCCTGGAGCAAAATCAGTGAGCAGTTGGTGGCAACTGTGACCAGATGCTTGACCGCAAAAGCAACAGATACCTGCTACAGAAGATTCAGTCTCTAGCTCTGGTTTGATTGTGGCTCACTGTGACCTCCAGCGCATCACAGGCTCCCTGGGCCCCCTTTCCTCTTCCCAAAAATGTCGACTGAGCTTGATAATCTCTGAAGGTCCTTCTGGCTCTAGCCCTAAGAGTTTACTCTTGAATGAACACTGGCCTGTGCTCCCTTATCTTCAAAATCTCATTCCCTAGCCAGTATTTCCACCTTCTTCCAACTAGTTGCTGTCATCCAGGGCATGTACTCTTTCCTACACTGATACGGATTCCAAGCTGATACTATCCTCCGGTTTGTACCTGATCAAGCCCACAGCCAGAAAGGAGTCTGAGGCTACTGACTTCAGCCTGATGTGGCCCTTTGGTCCCTTCCCTCAGGAGTTTGCCACAGGATCATGAGGCCAGTGGCTGCTGTAGGAGCTCAGAAGACGAGACAGTGTTGTGGTCAAGGAAGGCTTCCTGGAGGAAGTGGGATCCAAGTTCCTGAAATAATCTGAATTGGTGGAGAGGAGAGGAAGGCCCTTCTAGGCAGGGGGAGCAACCTGGACAGATTGAAGGAGCAAAGGGAGTATATTCTTCCCTGAGCAGAGTGTTGGTTCTGCCAGTGAGTCAAGAAGGAACGGGAGGTGGCTGTAGAGGGGGGAGGACTTGCTGAGGGCAGTGCTGTGAGCTCAGCGTTTGGGAGAATGGTAGCATCTTGGAAAACATAAGCCTAACATTGGGACACTTCTGCAGTGGGGCCACTCATCAGACCTGGCAGAGACTAAAGGGCCGTCTTGGGGGTTTCCCACATCTCCTGGGTAAGATCTAAACTTAAGCCGGGCTCGGTGGCTCAACCTGTAATCCCAGCGCTTTGGGAGGCTGAGGTGAGTGGATTACCTGAGCCCGTGGATTTGAGACCAGGCAACTTGGGGAGACCTCGTCTCTACAATAAACCAAAAAATTAACCGGGCATGGTAGCCCGCGCCTGTAGTTCCAGCTACTCGGAAGGCTGAGGCAGAAGGATCGCCGGAGCCCAGCAGGTCGAGGCTGCACTGGCCAGGAGCGTGCCACTGCACTCCAGTCTGGGCGACGGAGTGAGACTCCAACTCAAAAAAAAAAAAAAAACAGGCAGATGAGCATGCCTAGAAAGAGACAGATAAATGGTCTTATTACAATCCCTAGTCGCTCACTGCACAGCTGGACACCCTTGGGTTAGAGATGCCTAGGCTAGAGTGAACTAGGATTTAGTTCCTAAACTCACAGGGAAGTTTCTGTATTCCATATGCTAGTCCAGATCTCACTTCTTTCCATATTCATTCATTTCCTTCATTCATTCAGTCAGGTAAACAAACACTATCTGTGTCTGTTAAGTATAGTGAACACCACAGATTTTGCTTTCAAAATTACTTGCATACAGGAAGTAAAATGGGTTGAAAAATGCTTGACGAGAGCCAGGCACAGGCTCATTCAAGAGCACAGAGAAGGGGCACTTAGGCCAGGTCAGCAAGGTCAGAGGAGGCTCTAGCACTATGACTGAAAAGAGTAATCCCAGTGGACAAGGAGATGGAAGAATATCCCGGGCAGAGGGCCCAGCATGACCAAAGACTCAGAGGTAGCCTGCAGGGTGGCAGATTTCAGGGAACGACAGTAAGCTTCATGGGAGCGGGAATGGGAGTGGGTAAGTCAGGGGAGTGGGGGGAGTCAGGGAGAGGTCAGGGGAGTGGGCGGAGAGAAGTTTCTCCAGTTCATTCATCAAGGGGCTTTTTGAGTTGGCGTCTCACTCTGTCGCCCAGGCTGGAGTGCAGTGGCACGCTCACAGCCTCGACCTGCTAGGCTCAGGTGATCCTTCTGCCTCAGCCTTCCAAGTAGCTGGAACCATAGGCATGTGCCACCACACCCAGCTAATTTTTTGATTTATTGTAGAGATGAGGTCTTACCAAGTTGCCCAGGCTGGAGTGCAGTGGCACGCTCATGGCCACCACAGCCTTGACCTGCGGGGCACAGGCAATCCTTCTGCCTCGACTTTCCAAGTAGCTGGAAATACAGACACATGCCACCATGCCCGGCTAATTTTTTGATTTATTGTAGAGACAAGGTCTCACCAAGTTGCCTAGGCTGGTCTCCAACCCACGGGCTCAGGCAATCCTCTCACCTCGGCCTCCCAAAGTGCTGGGATGACAGACATGAGCCAACGCACCTGGCCTCATCTGCCTTTTAAGACAGGAGAAACTGAGGCTTAGAAAGGGGAAATGAGTTGTCCAGTGTCAATAGCTAAGGGCAGAAGCAGAATCTGTAGACTGGTCTGATGTTCCCACCAACGTTTCCGCCATGCTCCCAAACCTTTGGCTATTCTACTGACCTGACCATTAGTCTCAGCATGCGTTCCCTCATTTATTCCACTGCTGTTCACTGAGCATTTACTATGTGCCCAAAGCCAGAGTGAGCCAGACTGGCAAAGGCTGTGCCCCAGGAAGCTGTGGTCTAACTGAGGCAGCAACTGGACTGGTGTTGGTGATGGGACCCAGCTTGGCAGGCAGGGCGAGGCTGTTCTGGAGATCCTCTAGTCCAAGTCTGTGCTTTCACAGCCCAGAACCCAGAGCATACCTGTCCAGAGCTCCTCCCAGCACGGATCATCCCTGTATTCCTACCAGATCACCTGGCCATGGTCTTCTCCCAGGTTTGGTCGCAGGCGTGTGATCATCAAGAAGGGACAGAGGGGCAACAGCTTTTACTTCATCTACAAGGGCACAGTTGCAGTGACCAAGGACGAAGACGGCAGCAGTGCCTTCCTGGACCCCCACCCGGCATTGATGCACAAGGGTGGCTGTTTTGGGGTAAGCCCAGGGGAGGGACCTGGCTCCCCGCAGTGGGGCAGAGGGATGACAGGACTCCTGCTACAACCTCTTGGCCAGGCCCATGCTGCCTCGTGCTCTGTGCAAGTCACTGCCCTGCTTGGGCCCCAGCGCCCTTGCCCGTCCAGTGCTGGTTGAGTTGGACCGACGGCTTCAAGGCCAGCCTCCTGGTCTGTGATGCTGAAGATGTGTGTTCCCTGCTTAGCCCCTTAGAGATGCGTGATTCCATAGCCAGGCCTCTCCAGCGTCTTCCCCTCTGGTCTGTTCAGCCTGTTGCCTTTTTTTTTCAACAAGCAGCAGATGAAAAGTGAGGGGGAGTGGGCCCCTGTGGAGAATGCACGAGGGTGTAAAGGGGTCCGGGGACCCCACAGTCTGGGGAGGAGACTGAAGCAGGGGAGATGTGTGTAAGCTGAAAGCGGGAAGCTGGGAGTGGCCTCACACTCACTTTTGCCCCATCCACCCAATAGGAAATGGGCCTTCTGCATGCTTCAACAAGGAGGGCCACTGTAGTCTGTATGGAAGAAACGGAGTTCTTGGTTGTCGACCGGGAGGACTTCTTTGCTAATAAGCTGGACCAGGAAGTTCAGAAGGATGCTCAGTATCGGTTTGAATTTTTTAGGTAATTCCATCTTCGTTCAACATCGTTCTTCCCCTTTTGTGTTAGGTGCATGGATTTGTCCTAGGCCTGGTGAGAAACATACTGGATGCTGTTCTATCTGCGTAGAATGCTCTAGAATACACACCTCCCACCCCACTTCTCTGGCTAGTGAATTCCTATGATACGCTCAGGTCTCAGCTCCAGTACCCTTCCTTGTGGGATAGTAATAGTGAGAAGAGCTGACACACATGGAGCTCTGTGGGTCAGCCAGGACGCCAAGCACTTTGTAGTCACGTATAATCTCACATTCAGTCCCATGGGGTTGTTTGTCTTGTTCTCACCTTCTGGACAAAAGGACCAGGGCTCAGGAGGATGAAGTGCATGCATGTCTGGTATAGAAGTGCCAGGCTTCCCCACTCAACCTTATTGACCAACCCACTTACCTCACCCCAAAATAGAAAGGGGGCCCCATCTATATTTCTGTGGCATCCTGTGCTTCTTTAAAACTCCCATCCACAGTATAATTTTTTTTTTTGAGTTGGAGTCTCACTATGTCGCCCAGACTGGAGTGCAGTGGCACACTCACAGCCACCCCAGCATCGACCTGCAGGGCTCCAGCGAGCCTTCTGCCTCAGCCTTCCAGGTAGCTGGAACTATAGGCATGTGCCACTATGATGCCTGGCTAATTTTTGATTTATTGTAGGGACGAGGTCTCACCAAGTTGCCCGGGCTGGTCTTGAACCTGCAGGTTCAGGCAATCCACTCACCTCAGCCTCCCAAAGTGCTGGGATTATAGGCTGAGCCGCTGAGCCTGGCCCACACTATAATTCTTGACTGCATAATCATGACTTTAGAGTTTCTATGCCCTGTCAGACAGGAAGCAATATGGTGGCAGGAACCAGGTCTGTCTCTCTTACTGTTGCCTCATGTTGTCACTGTGCAGACACATGCAGGTGCTCAGCAAATACATGTTGGATAAAATAAATAACAGGATATAAATAATTGCAGCCATGTGTGGGTCAGAAAGTAAGTGCCTTAACTGTGGGACGATATTTATTTAACAAAAAAGCAGACCGCATACAGGGCAAGATATTTTTGTTTGTTTTGGGTACTTACTTACATGACAGACCACATAAGGATCACTAAACTAAGTCTCATTTAATTATTCTTTAGTTGTTTGCCTTTATGCAAAAGAGCGGAAATCTCATGCAGTGTCTGTACTGGCTCTGAAAATCCCAGATGTAGAGTTGCACAGCCATGAAGAGGTGTCATGGCAGAGGGGTCTGGCCTCTGTGGCTAAAGGGGGGGGGGTTGGTTCGTGAGGGGGATAGGCCAGGAAAAGGAGGGATTTAGTCCTGAAGGTGGGGAGTGGCTCATTTTTTCATACTGTGGAAAAATAGGTCTCATTCCAACCTTGGCTCTTGGGTGTCTCAGCGGTGTGGCCCTAGATAGGTCATATCATTTCTCTGAGCTGTGGCCTCCTGCTCTGTCCAGTGGGGATACTGATACCTCTCCCCCAAGGTTGTCGTAGGAAAGAATGAGATGAAAACGGGACGTGTGTGGCCCAGTGCTTGGCACGTAGTAGTTCTTCCATGGCAGCCCCGCTTTTCTTCTGGTGCCCCTAGACTGTTGTCCCTGACATGGCACCAACCCTGCTCCCCTTTGGCATCCTGAGTCCAACTCAGCACTCCCACTGAGGTCTGGGTCACCTTGAGTTTCCCTGAGGTAGCCCTGAGTCAGCCTGCCAGTCAGGTGAGTTCTGCGCCTGTAACTGTTGGAGCTGAGAAATAAGATGATGGTGGCAGCACCATGGAGCTGCCTGTGAGGGAAGGCCGGCTGGGATTCGTGTGGTGGAAGTCAGGGGAAAGGGCAGTCGCCGTGGACGGGGCCTTTAACCACAAGGAGCCACAGCACGGCATGGAGAGGGGCGTCCAGACTTGTCCCACCCCCAGGCCCGGGGCTGAGCAGTTGAAGCCAGTAGGCCAGAGGGTGGCAGGGGCGGGAGTGAGCTGCCCAGAGCAAAGGTGGGGTCAGAACTGCCAGGCTGGGAGACAGGACAAGTGGGGAGGGCGGCAGGGATGGAGCAAGGGGAAGGTTCCCAAAGGAGAAGCAGAAGTGAGAAAAGCCCAGGGCTGGATCACCTCAGGGGCCTTTGTGCAGCAGCCAAGGGGAGCTTGGCTGGAGGGGAGGGCCTTGGCTGTGGAGCAGGTGACAGCGGGCAGGGGAGGGGCTGCAGGCTCAGTGGGGGCCTGGGACAGGGTCAGATTCTCCACCCGAGACTTCCACAGCAGTGTGTGTCCTTTCTGCACGATGCTGAGGTCTGGGCACCTTGTGAGGGAAGGTGGTGACTTCTAACAGGAAGATGACTCTGTTTGGATTGTGGTCTGATGAGAAGCTCTGGCAACTTGTAGCCCTGGGGAAGATCGAGAAGTTCTCCTACGGGCAGCTGATCTCAAAAGACTTCGTAGACTCATCCTACATCATGTTTATCAGCAAGGTGAGACTCTGGGGGCTGGGCTGGGGTGAAGCTGGGAGGAGCGGCCTGAGGCGGTGCCCTGTGGGTGGGCAAGCAGCGTTTGAGCCCCATTCTGTGACCTGCTAACTCCCCTCCTTTTCTGGGTTTCCTGACCCAGCTGTAAAAGACATGCCTCCCTTAGAGGGTGGCAGGGAATTGAGGATACACAGCTATTGTGTTGGAAAGAAGACCAAGGGGTACTCCCTCCTCGAGCTCATATGCATATTTATTTACACATAGATGCATATTTAAATTTTGCATGTGGCTCATGAATCTTTTATTATTATTTTCTTTTATTTTTTATTTTTGAGTTGGAGTCTCACTCTGGTCACCCAGGCTAGAGTGCAGTGGCACATTCACAGCCACTCCAGTGTTGACCTGCTGGGCTCTGGCAATCCTTCCACCTCAGCCTTCCAAGTAGCCGGAACTACAGGTGTGCACTACCATGCCCGGCTAATTTTTGATTTATTGTAGAGACGAGGTCTCACCAAGTTGCCCAGGCTGGTCTTGAACTCATAGACTTAGGCACTCCACTTGCCTCAGCCTCCCAAAGTCCTGGGGTTACAGGCTGAGCCACTGAGCCCAACCTATTATTATTTTAGAGATAGGGTCTCATTCTGTCACCTAGGCTGGAGTGCAGTGGCACAATCAATTATAGCTCACTACAGCCTCAAACTCCTGGGCTCAAGTGATCCTCCCACCTCAGTAGCTAGGACTGCAGGAATGCGTCACCATGGCTGGCTAATTTTTATATTTTTATGGAGATGGGATCTTGTTATGCTGCCCAGGCTGTTCTCGAACTCCCAGCCTCAAGCAATCCTCCCACCTCAGCCTCCCAAAGGACTGGGATTATAAATGTGAGCCATCATGTCCGGCTAGGCTCTTGAATCTTCATGATGCCAGATTCTCTTTTAAAATATAATCTTTAAATTGTAAAAGTGATATGAGCACATTATAGAACTTTCTTGAAAGAGGAAATAAATCACTCACAAACTCATCAACTCAAAATCGAGTTTCAAAAGTGGAAATTTTTGGTACTATAATTTTTTTTGCAAGGCAGACTTCATTCAAAGGGGCCATGGGAACAGGCATAGGAACCACTGCCATGGGGTCTTACAGTCAGGGAGAGACCAGGCTCAATGCGAGTGTCACAATTTTTATGACCCCTGGCGCAAACTGCTTTCCAAGAGGCGGGATCCTCCTCCTCTAGCTCCTGGTATGTATGTTCTTGTTGATGCCGCCACCAGCAAGTCATTCCTTCATCGGTTTTCTAATTCACAGGTGGCAGCTGCTGCCTCCCTGAGGATTTTTTTTTTCATTTTTTCCCCTTCTTTATTTTAATGATGTGGGATACAAGTCAAGATTAGATACATAAGTGTGGTCTACATACATGTAGACTCACCTGGTCCTCACTTCCCTGGCGTAGGACCAGGTGCCCTCAGTGATGTTATGTGCCCCCACCCTCCTGGCAGTGTCCCACGACTGCTGATCCCTCACATCATTTTGTAACTGAAATGCCTACTGATGTTTTTTCCACTACCTTTTTAGTTTTATTTGGTTTTGCTAAAAATTTTGAGTTATAATATGTTAACACAATCATTCACTGAGGATTTAATTTATATTTTTTCTGGTTACTAGTGAGATTTTTTTTTTCTTTGAGTCAGAGTCTCTCTCTGTCGCCCAGGCTGGAGTGTGGTGGCATGCTCACGGCCACCACAGCCTCAACCTGCTGGCCTCAGCAGCCTTCCAAGTAACTGGACAGGCACACGCAACCACGCCCAGCTAATTTTTTGATTTATTGTAGAGACGAGGTCTTGCCATGTTGCCCAGGCTGGTCTTGAATCCCTGGGCTCAGGCGATCCTCTTGCCTCTGCCTCCCAAAAGGCTGGGATTATAGGTGTGAACCACCAAACCCGGCTTCTAGTGAGATTTATCATGCTCGTTTCCATCTAAATTTTGTCTTTTGCAAGTTGCTTTATGTCCTTTGCCACCTCCTCTGTCGGTTGATAATAAAATCTAGCATTGATCGAGTGTTTACTCTGTTTCACCTGCTTAATCTCATTTCAGTCTCAATAACCCAAAGGAGGTTGGTATTGTCATTATTCCCATTTTACAGAGGAGAACACTGAGGCACAGTAAGGTTAAGTCACCATCCGAAGTCACACAGTTGATGAGGGTCAGAGGCAGGGTTCAACCCAAGTCTTACTCCACAACTTTTCTCAGGAGCTGGGATTTGGGATTTTTATTTAAAAAACAAAAATTGACAGGTTGACCCTTCTGTCAGTTTCTAACAGGTTAAGCCACCACAGTTATTTGTTGAGTTTTTGTCAAGTTCATGACACACTGGTCCAGACTCTGGAGGGATACAAAGATGGAAAAGATTGATTTTCTCTATATGTCTCCTCCACTAGAGTCCACACATAGGCAAACAGATTAATCAATGCCAAGCACCAAATGATTGGCATGAGCTCTGCAAGTTACAGGAACTCAGGAGAGGGAACTATCTAGAGGGAGGCTTTAAAGAAGGCTTCCTGGAGGAGGTAAGGTGGGAGCTGAGCCTTGAAGTGTTGAATTATTAGACAAAAGGAGGGAGCAATGCTGGTAAAGTGCTGGAGCGGCTCGTGCCGGCCCATGGAGCTGATGGTTAAGTGTTCAGGAATTTTGCAAGTTGATAAGCACAATAAGTATTAAAAACTAGGTTATATAAACCTGCAATTAAATTCACTAAATTGAAATCAAGGACCTAGGATTGGTGGCGTACGCCTGTAGTCCTAGCTACTCAGGAGGTGAGGCAGGAGGATCACTTGAGCCTAGGAGTTCGAGTCCAGCCTGGCAACATAACAAGACTCTGTCCCTATTAAAAAAAAAAAAAAGAAAAAGGAAAGAAAACAAGAGAAAGAAACACAGCAAACTTACCACTTCCTGATTGTGTGCCTCTCTTCGCACTTCCACATTCTGTGGCCTCACGGGGGCAGCCTGCACTCAGCCATGGTGGCAGGATTTAAACCATGGAATGGGTAGACACCAGAGTGATTTATAACTTTGGTTTTGTTTTGTTTTGTTTTGTTTTATTGAGTTGGGGTCTCACTCTGTTGCCCAGACTGGAGTGCAGTGGCCACTCCCAGCCACTGCAGCCTCAACCCACTGGGCTTTGGCGATCCTTCCGCCTCAGCCTTCTGAGTAGCTGGAACTACAGGCACATGCTACCATGCCCGACTGAGTTTTGGATTTATTGTAGAGATGAGTTCTTGCCAAGTTGCCCAGGCAGGTCTCAAACCCATGGGCTCAGGCAATTCACTCACCTCAGCCTCCCAAAAGTGCGGGATTACAGGCTGAGCCACCGAGCCCAGCTTTTGATTTATAGCTTTGTTGAGTGTCTTGGGAAAATGAAAAGAGAGAAGGTTTATAATGCAGATTAAATTAGGGAAAAGTGGGCTGTGAAAGAAGGAAATAAAGGAACTATCCTAACAGGAATTAAAAACTGTTATCTGATTCATAATAAAAGTCACATCATTAATGATCAAGTGAAGTTCTGATCTATGTAGGCTAAAACTGAAAGAAGCTTCAATTTAATGAATATAGTTTATGAGCAGGTGAGAAATAGTTTTGCTATCACGGGAGGTGAGAAGTTAGCTTTTAAAAAAATAACATGGCAAGACTGTATTATGAACAAATCAGATATAATAGCATTGCATTTACTGGAAAAGTGTGGATTGAGATAGAACTTGTTTGTCAAATCATGACTGCATTGTGCCTATAACCTGGCCATAGATGCAAGAGTTCAGCCCAGATCAACAAAAGCATTCTGTGAGAACTGATTGGCTAGATGGAATTTCCAGTAAGATTATGGTGTACTTTATTATTTATAAATTGTAGCACACCCTTTATAATAGTAAAACTTATAATACATGCATATTCTTACATTTTTCTAGAGAGCCGGCTGTAAACTTACCAGCCCCACCAAGTGTGTGTGTATGTGTGTATGTGTGTGTGTGCACGTGCACGCGTGTGTTGTTATTCTCAGGTCAGTCCCCAAGAAGAGAATGAAGTCTAGCTAATATAAGTAGAAAGGGATTTATTGCAGGATATTAAATGACTCACAGACTTCCTGGGGGGAATCCTGCAGAAACAGTCTTTAGACTGAAAACAACTCCCAGACAGCTCCAGGTCAGAATCCAGGGCCAGTGCTGCAGGTGTGGCTGCCCCGCCCAGTTCAGGAAGCACAATGTGGACGCCTGGCCCTGCCAACACCAAGCCTTGTCTGTAGGCACCACATCGGCATAACGAGATGGCAGCCAGGGCCTTGGTGCAAGGCAGCTTGGGAAATGACGTGATCGGCTTCCAGTCTCTCTATAAAAGTGGTCAGTCCTCCACAGAAGGGTGGGGATGAGGACATCGCCTGCTGAGGGAGCAGAGTGGAGCCAAGCGCATAGCAGGACATGCCTAGGGTGTAGGACTGAAGAATCCTGATGGTCGTGTGAGGGGGAGAGGAGGTGGGCTGGGAGCCTGGAGGGAAGCTGTCAGGGGAGCCCGAATAATTGACAATACCCTCTCCTCCCTGAAGTCTCGTGTTGCCCAGGCTGGTCTGGAACTCCTAGGTTTAAGCAATCCTCCTGCTTCGACCTCCCAAGTGCTGGCATTACAGGCATGAGGCACGGCGCCCAGCTTTGGGGATGGTTCTTAATCTGTTTGCCTTCATTGCTTCATCTGTGAAATGGGAAATCAGCTTAGCAAATGCTTGCTCGGTTAACACACATCCTCCATTTCGGTGTTCTCAAAGTGTTGTGGCTGGACCAGCAGCCACAGCCTCGCTTGGGAACTCATCTTAAAATGTAAATTCTCGATCCACCCAAGAGCGGTGGAATACAAAACTACTGGGGGGCGGGGGAATGGCTCAATAATCTGTGCTTTAACGCGTCTTCCAGGTGTTTCTGATGCACACTGAAGTTGGAGAACCCCTGGCCTAAGGGAGGAATTTTCAAATTTTGGTCAAAAGGCAGATTCCTGTCTCATCCCAGAGACTGGTTCATCAACTCTGGGATGCACTTTGAGCAAGCGCTCAGGTGATTCTAATGCAAAAGTCTTGGACCTCTTGCCTAGAGAGAAGTCACAAAAGGGCAGCAGGTGGGGGACCATCGGCTAGCAGACGAGTCTGGACTGTTCCTTACAGTGTTTTATTAATATCTGATTTAACTGTTAAGATGAAGATTTTACATAAACATTCTGATTTCTGCTTTGAGAAGTCGGATCAGGCAATGGCAGGCTGTATCCTGGTGCGGGCCCTCTCTGGCTGGGTTGAAAAGCGCCTGGTCCCCTAGAGGGACTGCTCTTTTTCTCATTCTTGCTGGCTTTGAGTGTCTAGGAAGGAGACCCAGTTGTCCCGACTCCTGTAGTTAACTCATATTGCCGCTAGAGGGCAGAATCAGCAGTGGTGACTGGGCGCGCTTAGGCCCCGGGAAAGATTCCTGTGGGAATGGCGCAAACGTAGTGAACGCTCATAATCAACTCATTCCAAACCGTTTATCATTTGGGGACACATGGTGAAGCTGTTCTTTCCACAGATACAGACACAGATACAATTAAAGACCCACAGGAGACTTGCTAAGAGGAAACTGTGTTCCTGTGTGTTTCTCTGGTATCTGCAGTTCCTGATAAATGCTTGTTGAATGAATATTGAATAAAGCTCCAAGCACAATGTCTGACATGTCATAAGGGCTTATTAAATGTTTGCTCCCTTCTTCTCCTACCCCTTCAGCAGGACACGTCTTGAACCTTAGCCCTTTATAATGTGTCTTGTAGAGTTCTTACTGGAAAAGGATATTTTTTAAAAAACGATATAAAGGAAAAATGACATATCCTTCTTACCTGTCAGATTAGAAAAGATTAAAAGAATTATGGAAATCCAGTGTTGGCAATGATGTATTATAACGAACTTTGTTATTTATAAAGAGCAGTGTTACACTCACTATTGGAAAGTGTAAATTGAGTTAACCTTTTTGGAGGGCAGTTTGGCAATATGTATCAAAATGTAAAATACGCATACCTTGGTTGGCCATGGTAGCTCACACTTGTAATGCCAGCTCTTTCGGAGACCAAGACAAAAGGATAGCTTGAGGCCAGGAGTCCGAGACCAGCCTGGACAACATAGCAAGACTCTGTCTCTACAAAAAATAAAAAATTTAGCCAGGCATGGTGACATGTGCCTGTGTCCCAGCTACTCAGGAGACTGAGGTGGGAGGATCACTTGAGCCCAGGAGTTTGAGGCTGCAATGAACTACAATTGTGCACTCTAGCCAGCGCTACAAAGGGAGACCCTGCCTCTAAAATATATGTATGTGTATGCATGTGTGTGTGTGTGTGTGTGTGTGTGTGTGTGTGTGTGTGTATACTGTTAAGGAATTATTCCCAAGGAGACAGTCAAGCATGGGTATTATAATAGCACAAACAAGACGATACTGCAGTTTAAGCAACCCTCCAGTCTTAGAGGATTAACCAAACAGCATGCATTGCCTCATCACACTACTTGCCTTTAGTGAGTCATCAGAGAGGTCTTGCTCCTTATGGACATGCAGGGGCCTAGGCTACTGGAAACTCTGTCTTGGTCCAGGCTTCTGCGATCAACAGGATGGGAAAAGGGAACATTGAGAATCAAGCCCAGGGTTTGTTTTTTTTTGAGTTGGAGTCTCACTCTGTCGCCCAGGCTGGAGTGTAGTGGCACACTCCCGGCCACCGCAGCCTCGACCTGCTGGGCTCAGGCGATCCTTCTGCCTCAGTCTTCCAAGTAGCTGGAACTGCAGGCACATGCCACTACACCTGGCTAATTTTTTGATTTATTGTAGAGACGAGGGCTCACCAAGTTGCCCAGGCTGGTCTCGAACCTGTGGGCTCAGGCAATCCTCTCGCCTCGGCCTCCCAAAGTGCTGGGATTATAGGGTTGAGCCACCGCGCCCAGCCAAGCCCTGCTTTTAAAGTTTCCACCTAGAGTATCACACATTACTTGGCTAAGGAAATCTAGAAATTGACCAAAGCAAGTAAGAAGGTCATTCCTAATTTGAAGGATGAAAAAGCACACTTCTCTCCTACGCCTTGGGGGACAACATGAGTATCTGCTGCCTTTATGACTGCTATAGGAATTAGGATGTAGATACAAGAGTCTACAGCGTTCTCTGTGTCAGGTCACAGAAACCCAACTAGGGCTTAATAAGCAGTTGTTTATCTTTCCCACACAGTGGTCAGCCTAGAGCCAGGCAGGCAGGCCAGGCCCATAGCAGCTGTTCTAGAAAGTCATCAAGAGCCCAGGCTCCTCCTAGTTCCCCCACATCCTCCATCGCTTATGGCTTTCATCCTAATGGTCACGACATGGCTGTCCCACCTCTGCCATCATGTCTGAGTTTCAGGCAGTAGGAAGAAGGGAGACCAACAGCTTTCCTGGGAGTTTCAACCCACAGCCTTTTACTGATGTCTCATCAGCCAGAACTGTGTCGCTGCCACCTCACTGCAGGAGAATTTGGGAAAGTGGGAGATTTTTTTTTTTTTAATTGGGAACTTTACTTCCCTGAACAAACACAGAGTTATATATAATACCAATGAATTAGAAACAATCAAAAATGAATCTTCAAAAATACTTTTCATGGGGGGGCAAGATTAGCAGTAGTAGCTGGGGGAGAAGGGCACACCTCATCAGCGAGGAGACCTGCATAATGAACATCTGTATACCTAACCCTGAATTGTACCCCGCATCTTAAAAATAAAACATTTTAAAACAGAAAGAAAAAATATATTTTTCTTGAGATATAACATGCGTGCAGTAGATATTTCTTTTCTTTTCGAGTGGCGTCTCAGTCCGTTGCCCAGGCTGGAGTGTAGTGGCGTGCTCACGGCCACCCCTGATCTGCTGGGCTCAGGCCATCCTTCTGCCTCAGCCTTCCAAGTAGCTGAAACTATAGGTGCACACTACCATGCCCGGTTAGCTTTTTATTTATCGTAGAGACAAAGTCTCACCAAGTTGCCTAGGCTGGTCCCAAACCCGCAGGCTCAGGCAATCCACTCACCTCAGCCTCCCAAAGTGCTGGGATTACAGGCTGAGCCACTGAGTCTGGCCAGTAAATATTTCAAATATAAACTTTACAGCTTGATAAGTTTGTACACATATGTACCCCAGTATAATCACTGTTCAAATCAAGAGTAAGAACATTTCCAGTACTCCAGAAAGCTCCTTGGTGCCCCTCCCCAGACAAAATCCTCCCACAAAAGATACCACTTTTTTTGAACTGAAGTCTCATTCTGTCACCCAGGCTGGAGTGCAGTAGCACGATCACGGCTCACTGCAACCTCGACCTTCTGGGCTCAGGAGATCCTTCTGCCTCAGCCTCCCAAGTAGCTGGGACTACAGGCATATCCGCCATGCCCAGCTACTTTTTTTTATTTTTTGTAGAGATGAGGTCTCACTATGTTGCCCGGACTGGTCTCAAACTCCTGGGTTCAGGCAATTCTCTTGCCTTGGCTTCTCAAAGTGCTAGAATTACAGGCATGAGCCCATACCTGGTTAAGAATTACGGCTTTTTTTTTTTTTTTTTTTTTTTTTTTGAGTCAGAGTATCACTCTGTCTCTCAGGCTGGAGGCAGTGGCATGCTCACGGTCACTGCAGCCTTGACCTGCTGGGCTCAGGTGTTCCTTCTGCCTCAACCTTCCAAGTAGCTGAAACCTTACAGGTGGGCACCACCACACCCAGCTAATTAAAAAAAATTTATTGAAGAGACAAGGTCTTGCCAAATTGCCCAGGCTGATCTTGAATCCCTAGATTCAGGTAATCCTCTTGCCTCGGCCTCCCAAAGTGTGGGATTACAGGCATGAGTCACAATGCCCGGCCCAGATTCCTGCTGTTATGATTTATGTTATCAAATACTATTGCCCTTTTAAAAATTTCATATAAATGGAATTCAAAAGGTATGTACTCTTTATGTCTCACTTCTTTTGCGCAACTGAATATATGCTATTTTTTATTTTATAAATTATGATATACATAGAATAATATGTAACCATTAAAAATGATAATGTAGAACCATATTGTTTGGCATGAAAAATGTCTTTGATATAGTATTGAGTTTCTAAAAAGGTTACAAATGTGTTTTACATAAATGAACGAATTTATGAAAAATTGTATATACACATATTATATGTTCATAGAGAAAAGTTTGAAATAATATTCACCAATATGTTGCTATTAGTTATTTCTGGGTGTTAGTTTTAATCCAGTTTTAACTTTCTCTATGTTCGGTTTGGTTTGAAAATTTTTAAACTTTTAATTTTTGAATAACTGTAAATTTATATAAAAATTATAAGAACAGTGCAAAGAACTCTTGTATAACCTTAACTCAGATTACTAATTATTACTTGCCACATTTGCATTCGTGTACATATACCATATATATGTATATTTCCATGCCTGAATCATTTGAGAGTTAAATATCATTCATGATACTCATTGACCCCTGTATAATTAAGTGATTCTTTTCTTTTCTTTTGAGTCAGAATCTCACTCCATCGCCCAGGCTAGCGTACCTCTGCACGCTCACAGCCACCACAGCCTTGCTGGGCTCAGGCGATCCTTCTGCCTCAACCTTCCAAGTAGCTGGAATGACAGGCACGCACTACTGCGCTTGGCTAATTTTTTGATGTATTGTAAAGACAAGATCTTGCCAAGTTGCCCAGGCTGGTCTCGAACCCCTGGGCTCAAGCAGTTCTCTCACCTCGGCCTCCCAAAGTGCTGGGATTACAGGCATGAGCCACCGCACCTGGCCTTAGATAACAGTTTTATTCAAAAAACACAAAACAACCTGAAACCATTTGCATTAAGCAAATAAAAAGGGATAAGAGGCAATACAGAGAGTTTTTCTTCAAAGCCTGGCCTGCCTGGGGCCTCGGTGATGAGCCCTTCTGCTGTGTCCCTTTATGTGTCCAGGGCAGCTGTGAAGTCCTGCGCCTGATAGACCTTGGGAACTCCCCCTCCTACTACAAGTGGATCTGGCAGCATTTGGAACTGATAGCGGACAAGCCTCTGAAGACCTGCCTCAAGGGTAGGCTGCGTGGTCACCTCCAGCAGCAGGGGGCACGCGGGTCTGCCCTTTTTCCAATTCCCAGCCCCAAAGAATCTTAGCGATCTATTGTCAGGGGGGATATCTGATTTGATCCCTTCTGCCAACTGTGGACGCCTGGTCCAGAGGCCCTGCCCTCTTTTTCAGCCTCCTCCTTTTGAGCCTTCTCTTTTGCTCTCCAGGCTCTCCTGTGTTGCCATCTACTCATTGTCTCACACGTGTCAATACTCAGCAACAGAGGACTTCAGAGTTGGGATTCTAACCCAGGCCCAATTTATCCCAAAGCCCAGACTTCCTTCTCACATCTCCAGCCTTCCTCATTCTCATGTCCTGTTGTCGGACATAGAACCCATCAGACTGCAGCCTCTAGAGCTGGCCCAGATGATGACCAGGCGTCCTAATTCTAGGGTGTTGATTCCAGCCACAACTCCTTTGTTGTGATGAGTGGCATTTTCCTTTCTTTCACTTCTTCCTCCTCCAGAGATCTTTCTGTCTCGTTTGTTTAGGTCAAGAACTCCATCCCTCAACAGACATTGCAGGGGCTCCTTATCTCATGTGTGGAGTACTGATATGGTTCGCACCAATCCCACAGATTGTTGTCTGTGTATCCCGGGCCCTTCTCCCCAAGGATCATCTCACAGATGCCACTGGACCTCTTGTGATAACAGCTGAGGCCAGCACAGGGAGGCAGAGGAGGAGGGTGGGAAAAAGAGGTTGGAGCTAGACAGAGCTGGGTTTGAATCTCACTTATTAGCTGGGTAACTTTGGTGAGAACTTAAAGTCTCTGGGCTTGGTTTCTTCTTATCTGTCATGGGTCGTGTCCTGGTCAAGAGCAGAGGCTCAGGAGCCATTGTGTGAGTTTGAATACGGGGCCCTTCTCGTACTAGCAGTGTGATGCTGCACAAGTCACTCTGTGTCCCTGTGTACCAGTGCCCCCAGAATCTGTAAAATGTGGATAACGGTTCCTACCTCATAGAATTATACAGCATCAAGCAAATTAATCCATAAAACTCTTAGAACACTATCTAGATGCAGAGGTACATAGCATAGATGTTTGTTCTCATTATAGGCTACTGGGAAGGCTGACTGAGATCATGTACGCATGAGGCCTTGTAGCAGCTACTCAGTACCTGTACTCATGTCATTGCTTTTTTCTATCTTTTTTGCTGCCAGTCCACCAGAGAAAAAGCTGCATCTCACAAACTTTGATAAGTTGTATTTTCAGTTCGTTCAAAATATCTTTATATTTCTCTTTGATTTCTTCTTCTTTTTTTTGAGTTGGAGTCTCACTCTATTGCCCAGGCTAGAGTACAGTGGCATGCTCATGACCACCCAGTGTCAACCTGCTGGGCTCCGTCAATCCTTCCGCCTCAGCCTTCCAAGTAGCCAGAGCTACAGCCTTCCAAGTAGCAGGCTATCACACCCAACTAATTTTTCAATTTATTGTAGAGATGAGGTCTCACCAAGTTGTCCAGACTGGTCTTGAACCCGTGGCCTCAGGCAATCCCCTCACCTTGGCCTCCCAAAGTGCTGGGATTACAGGCTTGAGCTACCGTGCCTGGCCTGATTTCTTCTTTGATCCAGTGAATATTATGAAGGGTGTTGGCTGGGTGAGGTGGCTCATGTCTGTAATCCTAGCACTCTGGAAGGCTGAGGACAGAGGATTGCTTGAGCCCAGGATTTAGAGACCAGCCTAGGCAACACGGTGAGACTTTGTCTCTACCAAAAAAAAAAAAAAAATTAGCTGGGCATGGTGCCATATGCCTGTAGTCTCAGCTACTAGGGAGACTGAGGTGGAAGGATCGCCTGAATCCAGAAGGTCAAAGCTGTGCTGAGCTGTGATCATGCCACTGCACTCCAGCCTGGGTGACAGAGTGAGATAAAAAAAAGTGGGGGGTGTGCTATTAGTTTCCAAACGTTTGGTGATTATCCAGTTATTTTTCTGTTGTTGATTTTTAAGATAATATACTTTGTATGATTTGAATCCTCTTAAAGGCAACTTGTTTTAGGCCTAGGATACAGTATATCTTGGTAAACATTCCATGCACATTTGAAAAGGACAGGCCATTGTTGGGTGCAATGTTCTATGAATGTTAATCAGATGAAGTTGGTTGATAGTGTTGATCAAGTCATCTATAGTCTTTTTTTAATAATATCAATTCCTTCAGTTTACCCTTTCCTTTTTCTTTTTACAAACCCTTGTGGTCGTCTATATTCTTACTGATTTTCTGTCTACTTGCTCTATCAATTGTTAATAGAGAGGATGGTTAAAAGCTCCAACTACAATTGTAGATACATTTTTCTCCTTGCGCTTCTATCAATTTTTGCTTTATGTATTTTGAAGCTCTCTTTTTAAGTACACAGATGCTTAGGATTTAAACTCTTTATCATTATGAAATGAACTTCTCTGGCCCTGGTAATATTCCTTGCTGTAAGCCCATTTCTTTTTTTTTTGTTGTTCTTTTTTTTGAGTTGGAGTCTCACTCTGTCACCCAGACTGGAGCACAGTGGCTGCTCCCGGCCACCGCAGCCTCGACCTGCTGGGCTCCGGCGATCCTTCCGCCTCAGCCTTCCAAGTAGCCGGAACTACAGGCATGCGGTACCACGCCCAGCTGATTTTTTTATTTATTGTAGAGATGAGGTCTCACTGCCCAGGCGGGTCTCGAACCTGTGGGCTCAGGCAATCCACTCACCTCAGCCTCCCAAATGCACGGGATTACAGGCTGAGCCACCGAGCCCAGCTGCCCATTTCTTATGATATTAATTTAGCCACTACTTTTAATTTAATTTAGTTTCCTTTTGATTAGTATTAGTTTGGTATTTTTTTCATCCATTTACATTTATCCTATTTGTGTCTTTATATTTAAAGTGGATTTCTTAAAGGTAGCATATAGTTGGGTCTTGCCTTTTATTTTATTTTTTAAATTTTTTTAACAACTTTTAAATTTTTTTATTTTAAAATTGTGGGGTACAATTCAGGGTGAGGTATACAAATATTCATTGTGCAGGTACCCTTGTTGATGAGGTGTACCCCCCCTTCCCCAGGCAGATCTTGACTACTGTCAATTCCACCTCCCACCCCACCTCCTCCTGCGGTTTCCTGCTACTGTCAATCCTTTTCTTACAGTATTATAGTAGTTGTTCATGGTCTACCCATGAGTGAGAATATGTGATACTTAGTTCTCTGTTTCTGTGAAAGATCACTCAGTATTATAGATTCTAATTCCATCCAGGTTGCTGCGAAGTTCAGGATTTTGTTCTTCTTTATGGCTGCATAATATTCCATTGTGTATATGTACCACATTTTAAAAAAATTCAGTCCTCTTTTGATGGGCAGCATGGTTGGTTCCATGTTCTTGCTATTGTGAACAAGGCTGCGATAAACATACGTGTGCAGGTATGGGTCTTGCCTTTTTAAAAAATTATAATCTGGCTGGGAGCAGTGGCTCAAGCCTGCAGTCCCAGCACTTTGGGAGACCGAGGTGAGAGGGCTGCCTGAGCCCACAGGTTCGAGACCAGCCTAGGCAACATGGTGAGACCTCTTCTCTATAATAAGTCAAAAAATTAGCCAAGCGTTGCAGGGGTCCAGCCCCACAAGGTCGTGAGGTTTCCTGAAGGAGAGATGGCTAGGCGAAAGACGAAAACATTATACTTGGACACCTGCTTCCTGAACAGATGACCTTTAATGTTAGCTAAGGGAAGGTTTTTATACCATTTGTAAAGGGGCAAGACAAAGAAAATTCCTTCACGTACATATTCTCTAAAAGTTACCACCATCTAGTGGTCTTAGCAACAAACAAGCCAAGAACCCTATAAACATTCAGACAATGAGTCTTATTCATAAAGCCAAAAATGATAGTTTTAGTCCAAAGTCCCGAGTTACAGTCCTTGAACTGTTTCCAGAAAGTTTCCAAGTGCAAAGTTCTTCATGTAGCAGTAGTTTTCCCATCTGGGGCTTCTTTGACCTTCAAAGCTTTGTAATCGCCTCTTTTGTCCAGGTGTCTTCGTTACTTTTCTCTTATCCTGCAGTGTTTATTTCTAAAGAGAACTCCAAAGAAGTTTTTAGTAATGTTTCCTAGGCCCCCAAGGTTGCTTTCTGTCTTTAGCTAATTTATCATAAAAGTGTCTGATTAGTATATTATGAGTTCAGTGAAAACCCACTCTATAAATGTTAACTTAGAGTTTTAACTATTGAATTAAGTAAAAACCTTAACGATAATCTTTATCCTAAGTCAGTGAAAACAGTGTTATAAATCACCTACATAACTGCTAGATAAGTGTTAGAACTTATAATGAATTCATAATGAACTTACTATAAACTTGTGCTTCTAAAAAACCTTATGTCTAAGCACTAAACCGCATAATTCTAAATCAAATAAGGAGTGAATATACTTATATCATTTTTTACTCAAGCAATATCTAGTAACTTATAACCAAGTGAAAGAAAGCATTCTTGATGTGCTTCAGAGTTTAACCCTTGCATATGTTAGAAAGGCCAAGTGGCATAGTGGGAAAATGGAAAGATGAACCATGACATTCTCAGGTTAGCTGTGAGTACTTCGCATAAACATGCCATTTTCTTCTTCCACAACTACACAGAATTTCTTCAGCCATACCAACAGCAAAGAAGGAAGATAGAAGGGCCTCAGCTGCCCGGACTCGCTTTGCGGCCGGGGGTCCTCAGCGCACCTGGACTTTGTCAATCAGGTGGGCTTCCAAGGCTGGCTCCCAACATCTCCCCCTTTTTTGTTTTTTAATACAAAGCCGTGAAATTCCGTGCTTAGTCAAGAGATGTTATTGTTCAATGATTTGAAGATTACTGGAAGTAAGCATAATAATAACAACAAAATTATTCCTCCACAAATTCCCACATTGATTAATATAGACAATAATGATTTTTTGATTGACAAATGAAGAAAAATTGTTGAAGATTTACTGAGCCAATTGGATGGACTCAAATTGTTTTTCAGTCGAATTAATGT